TATAATATTATAATATAATATAATAAAATATATAATATATTATATATTTTATATTTAATATAATAATATTATTTAACATGGAGCTGTAATTTCGTTTGCAAATGTATACTTTTGTTTCGCAACCACATCAAATCAAAATTCATACTTACCAATTTGCATATAATGCACCACGATAACCGCATGTAATTGTGGGTATTCAGTTTGGTTTGTTTAAGCTCTCTGATTGGTCGAGATCTGCCTCCACACACATAAAGGCAGTTGTTACCGGTAGTGACCGTGTTTCCCTTTCCCCTATCCCAGTTGCCACTACCTGGTTACGATAGAAGTGACGTTTTGATGGCTACGTTCGCTGAATGGGCAAGTTGATAATTTTTATTTCCAGAAACATTAGTTGTATTAAAATACCATCGTCACGAACTTTTAGGTCGTAATGACCGTATTGACGTTGAGATGCATATCTGTTCCTTATTTATTTGCGGTTGTACTCCAGGAGTGTGGTGTCTTTGTTTTTTGACAAGTAAACCGCTCTTGTTGCTGAGAAAGGAAAGATGGTGAGTTCACTTTGTGTGCGGAGAAAATAATTGCAGTCTTGTACTCCGCATTTACATGACCAAAGAAATTACATATTTTGTTGTAAATTGAATTTTCCACCATTTTTTTTCAGGGCGGAGGCGCACGTTAGAATAAGGGTTTAATGTGGGGCTATGTAATGTGCCTTGTATTATCATAGTCTTGAGCTACACTGAAGGTTATAGGTAAGGTTGTTAGGGAGCACAAGTAGCGCATGCCAGAGATGAGACGTGCATACAGTCTTAAGGACAGAAAACTTGAAAGGGAAGATGAATTTTGCATAAATGGGAGGGTAGTAGTACAGTGGACCCTCGATATTACATGTGATGGGGGTGACACTTTAAGTCCCGGAGTTATTGACAGTGATCCAAAAGAAGCAAGGCCATTTTTTGGAATGTAAATGGCATTGTACTGGTGGCATAAAGTCACTTGCAAACCACAAGGCAAAAATATCGCATGTCTTCCAAGAACTGGTTTTGTAGATCACAGGAAAATATTGCATGTTTATGTGCTTGAAATACATGAGGGTAGTCAAACTTTTGATGATTTACAGATTTCAGTTTGTGATTGCAGTCTTTATTGGCAGGCAGCAACAAAGACCCTCTTTATTGGTTACTTTCATACCCTTTTTGCTGGGAGTTTTTGAAGCTCTAAAGAACTGTGTGGAAGCAGTTTCCCATGCTGTACTGTTTCATTACAGTTGTACAATTGATTGTGAGTATATTCACCATTTGCAGTTGCTTTAAGTATAATTTCATGAAACGCTTCAACTGCTCACTTTCACAAGTTGCAGAGTTACCTTCAGTGTGAAATTGACAGACCCCATGTTGAACCTTCCATCTCTAAAGCCACTCTCCAAAAGATTTAAATGCCTGATTCCCATCTACTGTTTTGTTAAATTGAAGTGCTTGAGCTTTCAAAATTGCACCACATATAAGACCAGTTTCACTGTTGTTTTGTCAGAACCACTTGTACAAACAAATGTCTGCATTGAATTTTTCGCAAAATCTAGTCTTCTTCCTTTGCACACTATCTACCCTCATCTACTATGAAATCTCCAGATGAACATATTTTGTTTTCTTCTGTCATCCAACCATTTATTGTTCCTTCTGGAATTCCACAATTTTTTGGATAAATCTGATTCACTGTTCTTAACTCCTGCAGTAATTTTAATGTTTCTGTGACTGTATAATTTCTTCTTTTGTTCAGCTTCATATCTTTTTTCTTCCTTGGTTTATTTAATGGCAGCCTTAGCTGCAGCTTTATTCATTTCTTGATAAAACTTAGTACACTTAACAATATTTTTGGAGCTTCCCTCTGCATCAGTTCTGGGGCTTTGCAACTAGCATGATTGCAGTAGGTAAAAGTATTAGCATCACAACAGTGAAGCTTCAGGGGCTGACGATAGCGTAGTTAGTTGAGGTACTATGCTACAAGCTGAAAGGTCATGCGTTCAAGTCTCGATGAGGTCATTGGATTTCTTCAATAGACCTAATCATTCCAGCCACACAGTGCTCCTGGGGTCGACTCAGCCTCTAACAGAAATGAGTACCAGGAGTATTCTTGGAATATTCTTGGGGGTAAAGGACGGCCGGCGCATAGGGCTGACAACCTTGCCGCCATCTATGAGCTGATTGTCTAGAAAATGTGTCAGTCTCGACATCTCACAACGCTATGGGCCCCCATGGCCTGTTACAGGGATACCTTTACTTTTTTTACTTACAGTGAAGCTTCATGTCTCATCTAAAGGTGGTGCTATTTAAAGGCTGCTCATTGAATGCCATGGTTAGAGGAACCAGAAACATACCTACTCATAGTGGACTATGAACTTTACCCTCTGTATCAAGGAATGTTGTAATATATTCTTGTAATGTAACCAAAACATTTCAGAGAAATTTGCACAGTATAAAACACTGAGGGCTCATGGACATCACTGGGGTATATTCAAATCCATATTTTAATGAGGAGCATTCAGAAGTCTTAAAACACAAGGTCTGATTTGTGTGGTGCCATGTGATTGCAGTAATGGCAGGACATTTGTAGCTGGCAGAGTGATTAAGACCTCAAGAGAAATATCCTGCAGGGTGTTATTGATAATGTTTTTGACCTCATAAAGAAGAAATTCAGTACAAAGCAGGTGCTATGAGTGTGATGCCATGGAAAGTAGTTAAAAGAATGGTATTATATCCTGTTTGATGTGATGAGACAGCACAGCCATGATTGATGGTGGTTTTACAGAAAGTTGTACCAGCTTCATGTAGTGAGCCATGTCCAGCCCTAACATCTTCTCATGATGGAGATCCAGTTGTCACCATAAAAGTGGAGGAAGCCTTAGATACAAAGGTGAGGGGGGATCTGCCTCCAGCAATGTATTCAGAAATGAATGCCGAACATGAGGTCAGTTGAATGTCTGTGTGTCCATGTTGCAATATACAGAATTACTTATTGTCTTTCTTATCTTAATCTGTCTACCTGTCTGTCTGTCTGTCTGTCTGTCCACATGAAACAGCTTCTCTTGGAAATGGATTTTTAGTAGCCCTGTCTGAGTGTCTCTAGCAAGGAGTGTTTTTTGTTTCATATTGCATGTGGCATGAGGCTTATATATTGAGAGCAATATAGATCAAATAATTGGATTAAGCTGAAAAATGAACTGATTTATGTATGGTATTTAGAGCAGATCAGATAAAATTCCTGGAATGTTTGCTGTGTTTCATTTCAGAGTCTTCTGTCTCTCTGACTGCTGTCAGAGAACATAAGTGATAAATATTGTCACAATTTAGTGACTAGACACAGTGTTGGGATTGATATTTGAATTAATTGCACAGTTATTGTTCTTAACTACAAATAGCTATGAAGCTTTGTTATTCTTCTTAATCTTCAGATAACTACAACACTTTCCAAGTGTTTCCAGTCTGCTGTGTCATCACATACTTACTGCTGGGTAATGGCCTCAAGTAATGGTGATTCTTTCTAATATGTTTGTGCTCAGTGATACCCATTTAGTGGCAAAGACTTCTGGTCTCACTAAGTCTCTTATATAGGCGTGTGTATTCATGGCACAGGAATGGGTTTTAATGAGCTGTTGCATATGAATGGGGACACCTCTGGGACTGTTCTGACACTGTTATTTTGTCTTTTATCCATGTCACAGTATACATAGAAATGTAATTTGACCTGTTTTGTATGTATGGGAAACATGATCTCTCAATTTATGGGAAGAATGTATACATTCTAGTAGTTTGAGATCAATGTGCCGGGGAGAATATATTGTCTTGAACGGGAGGAAGTGAAAGAGGCTGGGGAAAATTTCATAATGAGGAGCTTGAAAATTTGTAGTGATTACAAAATAAAATTAGATAAATGGAATAAAAGACAATGAGATGGGTGGGATTTTAGGATGCATTTTAGGTATGTGAAATGCATGATCGTCGCTTGAAGCTGCAGTTCACGCCTTTGTCACTGAGTTCCACCTCTGCCAGTCTCCCTTGTTTGTCATGATACTTGGTTAGTTTATGTCTGGTATCTTCTAGGTTTGAAGGTGGAGCATGAAACTCTTGAGGTGGAGTCATGTGGGACTGGTGAGCATGGAACAGGGGACTGAAGTGGGACACTAAAGTACAGATGCACTATGTGGATAACAAGGCAGCGGTCTTGCTAAAGTTGAGGTGTGTCAGACAGGCACTGAACCTTCAGCTGCATTCCTGGTAACTTGGTAACTTACATGAAACTATTTTCAGGTGTTAGTGACCAGACCCGGGGTTTGGATTAGTAATTGGATTTATTGAACACTTCTAAATCGTAACTGTAACAGTTTCAAGGATCTACACACTTGTGTCTTTGCTGGTCATTGCTTGGCTACTGTTGTGTGTTACTGTCACACACTTGTGGTTTTGTAGATGTGGAGTGCGTATTCTGATGAAAGGACAGGTTTGTTGTTTGTCATGGTCAGTTTTGCTTCATGAGTTTCAATAGAATATTTGTGATGCCCCTTTGAGCTTTCTCTTGATCTGCAGAAATACCATTGTGACTACTTTGAACATATAATTCAGAGTCAAATCATTTACATTATGATTCTGAATTGACTGACTTGGCACTTCTTGTTGGTCGTGCCTCAGGGCACTCATTTCTCCCACTGTGGTGGGGCAGGCCTACACAACTTGAGAGTAGATGAGTCTGCTGCTGTTGTTGGGTGTTGCTGTGTAGCTCTGCCACAGACAGTCAAGGAGTGGTGTGGTAAAACACTCTTCCCAATGTAGTCTTGGGTGCTGTCTGCAACATGCTCTTCTGCGTCTCTTACCTGGTGTAGCTGCAGCCTTGATAGTTGTAGAGATGCAGTTCCCCTCTATGCACCAACTTGCAGTTCAGCATTATGGTATCATTGCTGCATTGCCCTTTTCTGCGCACTTCTTGTGCAGGTGACCACCCCCACACCATGTACAATGGATGGGTTTCTTCAATTAGCCCAGACATGGCCAAATCTGTGGCAGTTGTGATACTTTGTGAGACCAGCCTGAGCTATTGTTCGCCTTTGCCCTGATTGCAGTATGGCAAAGGCTTGTCATGTTGTTGATGTTGTATTTCAGCCTCCTGTTGCACTGATTCTCATCCATGATATGTATATTGGCCGTCTTGTAGTGCACTAGATCTCACATATCACTTCACTACATGTTTCAGCATCACAATGCTCGCAGCCAAAAAGAAGGACACATCACAAGACACAATATACACAAAATATAGGAAGAACGACTCCCATAGTGGAAGAATGACGTAGTACGCAGGTTTGAGTTAAGACATGTAAGATGATGGATATTAACAAATTTTGATATACGTAAAATTTATCATAGTTAGTGAAGAGTGTGCATTTTAGATAATTTTATAAACGACACATAATGGTGAGCAATGCAATAGCTTGACATAAATAACACACCTGAAGATGGCACAGTGATGCCGAAAAATGTGGTGAAGTGACATGTGAGATCGAGTGCACTACAAGACGGCCAATATACATATCATGGACGAAAAGGCTTGTCAGTTTGAATGTCTCCTGGGCTTTGATATCCAAAGTAGGTTTATGAGGAAGAGGGGAAGGTCATTGACAGGTGGCAGACCTTTATTTGATGCTAATAACATCAAAGCCAAGCCAACTGAGATCCTCTGTGGAAGTGGTGAATGGAAGGTGCCGTATCACAGCCTCTATAGGCCTCTGGGATTTGGGATAGAAGAAGTATGGGAGATTATTCCTCTCGAAGTGAGAGGGGATTTGTGGCATGGCCTACTACTGAAGCAAATAGTCCTACTAGGCATTTTATCACCCGATATATTGGAGTGCTGATCACATCTGCAGTGCGTTGAAGTGGTATATTTTGTTTGTGTATTTTTGTTGATCCATAAAGTCTTGGTGGCACAATATCATTTGGGATCACCGTTTTGGCCACTTCTGCAATCATCTTGGTTGGCCTCCTTTCCACTGCTTAGTCAGATCTTTTTTCAATATCTTGTAGTTCTGAACTTTTCAGAATTTTCCCATTTTTTTTTGGTAATCTTTGATGGTTATTACAAGTGCCCTTATTTGCTGGAAGGATTAAAATGTCTTGGTTAGCTTGTAGGGCCCCTAATGAGCCATGTTCAGCTTTTGAGTTGTTCATTCTTTGTGGTCTGAAGTGTTTTATTATGCAACTAGTGTCTAGTCCTATTTCTTCTGCCTATTCAGTTGGAAAATGCTGTATTACTATTTACTTGCCACTGATGTCTTCTCTTGTTGACTTGGGGTTAGGCATGTGAGTGAAGTGCAGACCTTTACTTAATATGGACATTGCAGCAGGGTCCACCTTTTTGTGTATGTAAAAGACCAACAAAAATAGCCTTTTTACTGCTCTAACAGTCAACATCATACAAGATCAGCAAGTTATGGGGAAATTTAATGTAAAAAGAGTATACATCCCTCTTACCTGCTAAGTAGAGTTCTCGCATACCAAGATGAGTGAAAGATGACTTAGGACTAAATGTCTCAGGGGTTTGCAGTATTCCGTGTGAATGTGGAAAATTATGCATAGGACAGACAGGTCAGTCCATTGAAACAAGGTGCAAAGAAAATGAATGACATCTGTGTTTGTATAATCCAGTGAAATCTGCAGTGACAGAACATGGCATTGAGTCAGGCCACTGGATCAAGTTCCATAAGACCCAAGCACTAGCAAAAACATAGGCTACATGGACTGACCTGTCAAAGAAGCAGTAGAAATAAAATTGCATGCAGAGAGTATAAACAGAGAGGAAGGGTTCAAACTCAGAAAAAGGAGGAGTACTAGCACCCGAGTATTAAGGCACTCCAACACACACATGTCACAAAAATCCCAGGAGCACACAGAGAAGAGTATGCTAAAAAGAAAACACATTTGACATCTGGGTCACCAGGTTAAGTGACGTGGTAGGTCAGATTTGGATGGGAGACCACACAGTTTAACTACACACTCCTACAGCATAATACACATATAGGAAGAGGCACTGATTTGACAAACTGCTGTATATGTGAGCGACATATTGTCGTTATTCACCACATCGACACATGATGGAGATTGAACAAATGTCTGAAACGCTGGTTGTTTGTTCAACCTTGACATGGCTGATCACCCAAGAATATTTTAGCACAAATAAAAACCTTATTATAAAGTTAATAAAAAGTCCGTCGAGTGTAACAATTTGTAGGTCACTTCTTTATCACTTCTGCCTTACATGTTTCGGTTTGACACAACCATCATCAGAGGCACTTACTACCATTATGAAACCACTGTCGTTTAAATNTTAACTTTGTGATTGATAGTGTAACGGACCAAAAATGAAACAATTCAAAAAACCTTATTCCATAGTGAAACACTCAGTGAAGTATGTTTGGGCTAGCAACAGACTGAGAAACAAGGTGGCAATAATATGTTGTGTAAAGGTGATGAAATTGTATAATGCTTAAATTGGGACTGATAGGCATAAATGATATGAAGGAAAGTTAGAAGGTTGGGTTTTGTAGCATGCATGTGAGAGATCAGAAATGCATACAGTTTCAGTTGCAAGGCATGAAAGGAAGAGGCCATTTTGGAGACCTTTTTGTGGGTGGAAGTTAGTGTAAAAACAGACATTGACTTCCTTAAATGCCACACTGCATGCCTTCACAGCAACATTGAATTGGCACATGACCTCTATTGTTGCAGTGTTGTCTTATTTTTTACATTTTTTATGTGTATTTAGAAAGAGAATGTATTCTGTGCTAAAAGAATACCATGGAAGAGCATATGACTGCTGTCTGTTAATGAAAAGACAAATAAGTCTAAATGCCAGGTTGACAGCATGTTAGAGATGTGTTGAAATCATGCTGGTCAACAAGGCATTAAAAGTATGAGGCAGAAGGATGTTGATTGGATTTGTCTAGCTGAGGATGGGGACCAGCGGCAGGCTGTTGTGAACATGGTACTGAACTTGTGCATTTGTTGACTGTTTAGTTAGTAGTTATTAGCAGTTTTGAAAGTTGTAAGAAGTAAGATATGTAGATAATGGGTGTTGTCAGATTGAATGCAAAAATGTGACAGTAACATGCATGTAATGAGAGAACACTGCCATGATTGATGAGGGTATGGTGCTATTACAGAACTGCATGGGTTTGGAGAAAGATATACTGGGTGCATATAGTGAGATATGTCCAACATCTTATGATGGAAATCGGGTCAGTAGTGTGAAAGCCGAGTATGTCTCAGATATGAAAGAGGAGGAGGAGAAAGTTCCTGTGCCGGTGCCTTTTCAAGTAGTAAATGCTGAACGTGAGGTAAGTTGCATATCTGTCTGTCTGTCTGTCCGTCCACTGTTAAGCAGATTTCAGACATATCCAGGATTACTTATGGCCTTTCTCATCTTCAGCTGTCTGTCCATCCATCCATCCACATGAGAGAAATCTACTCTAGGGAATGGATTTTCAACAGTCTTTTCCTTTCCAAACTAGCCTATAGCAGTTGTATTTTGTTGTAGTTTTTTTCTGATATACTGCTTCCATTTTGTGCAATTTTAAGTTTCACGAAATATTAAATAAGTTGAAAAATGAAGCAGAGTCTTGTAATACATTCAAAATGTAGGACCGTTGAAGGGCTATAAGAACGAGTATGCACAATAGGTCACCAAAGGCCACAGTTCAAGGGCCAGCAGTTAGGCCCACTTCTTATGTATATCTGTGTGTGTGTTAAAAAATAAATGGTTGTATTCACTTAAGAATTTTTGTCTTCTTGTGTGCTGTTAGAATATGCAAGGACTACTTTTACACAGACTAGTATTACCTGATATTTTGAATGGTCATGAAACTTCGTCTGTCATTTTAAAGGAAGAATGTACATCGAGGGTGTTTCAGAACAGAGTGGTGTGGAGAATATTTTATTGTAAGAAGGAGGAAGTAAGAGGAGGCTGAGAAGAATGTGTGATGAGAAACTTCAGAATTTGTACGCATTTCAGAATATAATTAGAAAGAAAAGATGTATGAGTCTTGTAGTAAGCATGTGAAGGATGTAAAATAGATGCAGAACTTTGTTTGGAAAACTATAATGGAAGATACCACTTCAGAGACTTCTGCGTAGATGGAAGGTGGTATTGAAGCTGATGTTGATTTCCTTCATTACTACCCTGTCTCTCTTTGCACCTGCATTCAGATGGCACAAATTCCTGTCCTGTTATTGCAGTGTTGTATGGTTTTTACAATGGGAAGAAATAATGTTTTAATTATCATCATAATTCCAAAATATCGTTCTATATAGGAGATAACCCATTTCCTGAGCTCGCTGAACAGTCAAATTATCCCGCGCCAAATGGACAGGGAGCCACCAGAATAGACAGAAGCAAAATGGTGACGTCAGTTGAGAAAGTGGAGGGTTGCGTTGTGGTACAGTTCCTGCATTTGCAATGGAAGTCTGCCAGGGAGATCCATGACCAGATGACCACAGTGGTCAGGTGGAAGAAGCGCTTTCATTGTGGATAGATAAATCTTGAAGATGAACCCCAAAGTGGAAGACCATCTCTCTGAGAAACCAGGAATTATGGCACAGGTGGAAGCTTGGATCCTATCCGATAGGCGCATCAGTACTGAAGCTATTGTTCATGATGTCTGCATTAGCCGTTAGTCAGTTTTCAGCAACAACCATGACGAGTTACACATGACAAAGGTTGCTGCGTGTTGGGTGCCACAGTTGACACCAGTTCAAAAACGACAGCGGATAAATGTGGCAAAGAAACTTTTGCAGTTGGGTGAAGACGAAAAGGTGGAATTTTTCGACCGCCTGATCATGATGGATGAATGTTGGGTCTATCATTATGACCCTGAAACAAAGGAAATGAGCAAGCAGTGAAAACATACAGACTCGCCACCACCAAAGAAGACCAGTTCCCAGCCATCGTCAGAAAAGATGGTGTTGAGCATATTCTGGGATTGGTGGGTTGTCATCATTACCGACTACATGCAAAAGGGCATCACCATCACTGGCAAGTACTATTGGAATGAAAATTATGGGAGGAAATCCAGAAAAAGTTATGCAGAATTCTGGGAAAAGATGTGCGACTTCTTCACGACAATGCACTGGCTCATGCTGCTCATCCTAGGACGACACTTGCTACCAGTTGGGGACATGAAATTCTCCCCCATCCACCATGTTTACCAGACCTGGCACTGAGCGACATCTCCCCCTTTCCATGGCTAAAAAAGTCACTTCTTGGCAAGCGATTCCAAGATGATGATGACATCATTTCTGCAGTGGAGGACTTCTAAACAGTCAAAATGAGACTTTCTATGGTCACGGTATCCTGCAGTTAATGCATTGGGGAAAATGTGTGGTCTTGTAGGGGGCATATGTAGAGAAGGGCTAACTCACATACAATTTCTTGCACCTGTGTCTCTGTTTCTCCTGGGTGATAATTAAAATTTTATGACTTCCCCATGTACATCTTCTTAGGTTTATGTTGATGAATGAATTTTATTCTGTGGTGAAAGAGTGTGGAAGAGCATGACACTGCCATGCATAAATGATAAGAATAATGCCATAATAGCTTACAAATTTCAAAATATCTCAGAGACTAAATGCTGTTGTCAGACAGAGCAGCAACCCCATCTCAGATGCAATTCCAGATGGCAAGGTATTAAAAGAATGAGGTGGAAGGCTGTGGATTAGATTTTTTGGCTTTGGAGAGGGACCAATGTCAGGCTATTGTGAACACAGTAATGAACTTTCGGGGTCCGTAAATGGCATGCAATTCCTGCACTAGCAGTGAGACCATTTGCTTCTGTGGAAGACTGCTTTGTCTAGTTAATAGTTACTGTGTTGAAAGTTGTAAGAAAGAAAATCTGTAGAAAAGTGGTGTTGTCAGGATGGTAGTGAAAGTGTATCGCATGTCATGTAATTGGAGAATGGAACCTCAGTTGATAAAGGCATGATCTTTTACAGAAAGATGCACCACCATCTTCTCATGATGCCAAGCAGGTGATCAGTATAAAAGTTGAGGAAGGCTCAGATATAGATGAGGAGGAGAATCTTGTGCCATTTACATATCCAGGAGTAGAGGCTGATGATGAGGTGAGACAGAATTGTGTGTTGTCTTTATTTATCCGTATATCACTGTCCATATGGAAAGTGGATTTTGGTGAAATGTTTAAAGAGAATGTCTTATAGTGCACATGGCTTTCGTACCACATTCATTTTGTCATAACGCAGTTCAAAGATGTAGGACTCGGCTACTGAGTAAATCAAAACAACTTCTGATGGGTTCCATGTTTTTCTTATCCTCCCTTTGCACTAAGCTTCCTTTTGACTAAATTTCTCTTTCAATTCTGAGGAGCTATAAATACAGTGCTGTGTCAGTATTATGAGAATTTGTAAAATTCATAGAAATTCTTGTTCTAACAGATGCCTATAGCACACAAAAATGTTTGGAATACATAGCTAGAAGTCCGTCCCATAACTTCCAATACTGCCACAGTCAATAAGTTTGTGGAATGGCCGCAGAGCACTACAGCGGATAGGTTGATGCATGATATGATGTCACCACTTGAAAGCAAAGCTACATGGTCATAGATTTCAGTTGTCCGAGGAGGTGGTCATTGCCACAAGAGATGCCGTACTGGAATTTACTGCCAATATGTTTCAGCAATGTTCTCTGCAGCTATGTCAATGTTGGCAGACTTGCATAGTGGACAGTGGCTACTATTTTGAGGGCCGATATGGATCTGTGTAAGTGTATGTGAATACCTTGTAATATGATGCGATAAAACCACATTCCACGAACTTATATGACTACCACATATACGTGGTGTGTTCAAAAAGTATCAAACCTTTGGTTGGCAGAAATACATTTACTGATTTGGAGTTACAAAACCCTAATCCCCTTCAAAGTAGACTCCTTGGTAAGACACACACTTCTCCCAGCGCTTCCGCCATTGTTGGAAACACTTCTTGAACGCGTCTTTTGGAATGGTGATCAGCAGGGTCATCACATTTCGCATGATGTCTTCTCTTGACTCAAATCGGGTTCCTTTCAGCGGCATTTTCAGCTTGGGAAATAGCCAAAAGTCACACGGAACCATGTCGGGGGAGTAGAGAGCCTGACAAACCACAGGGACATTGTGTTTGGTGACAAAAGTCTGAATCAGATGCGCAGACAGGGCGGGTGTATTATCATGATGGAGCTGCCAAGATTTTGCCACCCACAGATCTGGTTGTTTGCGCTGAACAGCATCATGAAGGCGACAAAGGACCTCCTGTTAGTATTCCTTTGTTATGGTTTGGCCTTGTGGTGCATACTCATGATGCACAACCCTATGGGAGTCTAAGAAAACGGCCAACATGACCTTGACATTGCTGTGGACCTGCCGTGCTTTTTTTGGCCTCGGGGATGTTGGATGTTTCCACTGTGACGACTGCATCTTGGTTTCCGGGTTGTACCCATAAACCCACGAGTCATCGCTTGTGATCACGGTGTTCAGAAAGTTGGGGTTACTGTTTGCATTGTCCAGCATGTCCTGTGCGATTTCCAGATGGCGTTGCTTCTGCTCCATTGTTAGCAGTTTCGCTACGAATTTCACAGACACTCTCATGCCCAAATCCTCAGTCAAAATTGAATGTACTGATCCAATTCTTACCCCTATCTCGTTCGCAAGTTCTTGGACTGTGATACGACGGTCCACCATGACCCAAGTCCGCACTTGCTCAATGACATTCTCATTTCGGCTTGTTGAGGGTCTGCCTGAACGCGGTTCGCTGTCCAATCGGTTCGAAGATGGCGATGAGGTTGTCAGTCTTACGCGCCAGCCACTCTTTACTCCCCAGGAAAATTATTAAATTAATTCCTGGTACTCATTTCTGTTAGAGGCTGAGTAAACCCCAGGGCCTAGTGCGGCTAGTAGGATTAGCCCATAATTAAGGAACTTCAATTTTGGAATTTGCACCAAGCAAACTGCCATAGATGATTGATTTTGAATTAATCCTAGATGGGTACCTACATAGATGTTTTCTGTGACATCATTATTCAGTCGATTTCAGGGGAATAAAACAAGTATGGCAGGCATGGGAAGACATTCTGTGGTGTCATCAGAAACCAGAATTTAACTAGCCATGTGACACTGTATGCAATGAAACAAGCTTATAGACTGAAGAGAAAATTCTGAGGTCATCATCACATGATTTACAATTCTCATTAGTTAAAACTTGTAGGGAGTAGGACACAGAGGTTGTATTAGTTGAGCCGTTATGATCTGCCAAACATCAAAAGTTTCAGAAACAAACCTGCAAATAGAGTTTTTGCAAAATATTATGGGAAAACAATGGTGACTAGATAACCATTCATTCGTCCATCCTTCCGCCCGTCTGCCTGTCTGCCCTTTCATTTGTTAAGATGAATTTGGTGGAAGAAAGTCTTTATTTTATTTGCTGATTGTTCGTGTGTGCAGCATGAAGAAACTGATAGTTCCAATGGTTTTGTCACTACTTCCACCCAGTTTTGGAGAAAGTCTGCATTCCAGAATCTGAGAGCAGTGTACCCCTACCAAGTTTTAACCAGGGAGAAGTGTAAGTCATGTGATGTCCACTGAATTTTCTCTGCAGTCCATTAGCTTCTTTCATTGTATATTGTGTCTCTTGACTGGCTGAATTCTGTTTTCTGATGACACCTTGCATTATCTCCAGTCGTACTTTACATTTTACAGGGTTATAGATCTGTTGGTGGCAGTGTAGTTTGAGACAGTGACAGAATTGTTTGGATGTTTATGCACTGTTTGAGACGTCATTGAGTGATGATAATGAGGAGGAAAAGATTGGTGTTAGTGACAGACTTGAAGTAGCTTATATCAGATTATAGGGGACAGAGGGACTTTGGAGCCAAAGGTACAACCTTTCACATTTTTTTTGACTGATTATTTCATGTACCCGGTTTACTTATGTGAAAGTCTTGCAAAGTTGAAGCACGTTTTAATTATGACAAATGCATTCCATGATACATTTCAGATTTCGTATGTAGTGATTTGTGGAATAACATTCCAGATTTCAGTCTGTAAGCACTGTGTAGACTTAATCCCATCTATTTTCCATAGAGGCAAGGATCACACACATTCTGACCTGACAAAGTGATGGCCACACTCTTCATAGTATTTTTTCATCAAAAGTAGTCCTTACAGACCACACTTGGTCCTATGTGGTGTATGCTAGTGAATTTTTGCTACCACAATATGTATAGATCATTATACTTTGTTCATTCATGAGAGAAAAGTTCCAAAATATATTTCCCATGCCACTTGGAAGTAACTGCATTATAAAGGAGTATAGTACATAAACTGTGTACTGTACACTGCACTACATTTCTGGATGTGTGATGGGATTTGGTAAATGTCACAATTGGTGTAAAGAAATGTCTATTTATGTTATTTATGCACCAATTTCAAATTCATTCCTCATCCCCTTAGGACATAATCATGATATTTTGCTTCTCATGTTTACTAGGGTGCTGTAAATGAACCTGAACGCAAGTACACTGGGGAGCATCCATTTTCTTGCAATGTGTGTAATAAGACATTGAGTCGGCAGGCTCATCTGAGAGAACATCTACGCATACATAGTGGGGAGCGCCCATTTTCCTGTGATGAGTGTAGTAAATCATTCTGTCGGCAGGCTGATATGAAGAGACATCAACGCACACATAGTGGGGAGCGGCCATTTTCTTGTAATGTGTGTAATAAATCATTCAGTCAGAAGGGTGATGTGAAGGCACATCAACGAACACATAGTGGGGAGCGGCCATTTTCCTGTATTGTATGTAATAAATCATTCAGTCAACAGCGAAATATGAAGGCACACCAACGCATACATACAGGGGAGCGGCCATATTCTTGTAATGTGTGTAATAAATCATTTAGGCATGGGACTCATCTGAAGACACACCAACGCATACATAGTGGGGAGCGACCATTTTCCTGTAATGTGTGTAACAAATCATTCAGGCATGGGGCTCATCTGAAGACACATAAACGCATACATAGTGGGGAGCGACCATTTTCCTGTAATGTGTGTGGTAAGTCATTCAGTCACCAGAATTCTAAGAGGATACATCAACGCATACATACAGGGGAGCGGCCATTTTCCTGTAATGTGTGTAATAAATCATTCAGTCAGCAGGCTCATCTGAAGAAACATCAGCGCATACATACTGGGGATTGGCCGTTTTCCTGTGATGTGTGTAATAAATCATTCAGTCTGAAAGGTGATCTGAAGACACATCGACACATACATAGTGAGAAGCGACCATTTTCCTGAAATGTATAATGATTCATTCAGGCATGGTGCTCACCTGAAAACATATGAGTCCATACATTGTGGGGAGCCACTATTTCCCTGTAATGTATGTGGCAGGTGATTCGGTAACCAGAATTGTATGAAGTCACATCAAGGCGTACATACTGGGGAGTGGCCATTTTACTGTAATGTGGGTACTAAATCATTCAGACAGCAGGTTGGTATGAAGAGACATCAACACTGGAGAGTGGCCATTTTTCCTGTGATGTGTGTAATGAATCATTTGGTGAGCATTGTATTCTGAAGAAACACCAAGGCATACATAGTGGAGAGCAACGATTTTCCTGTAGTATATAAGAAATCGTTCAGTGAGCAGGCTCATCTGAAGAAATATTTACATATATACAGGGTGTCCCAGGAGGAATGTGCCAAACTTCGGGAGGGTGTTCCTTATGTTAAAGTATGCCGATATAACCCAAAACACCTATGTCCAAAGTTGAACGGTTACGGAGATAATGGCCCGAGAAGTGTCAAACTTTGACCGGGGTTACACACTTGTTGATTACAAAATACATATTAAAACTGGCAGGAATATGTGGATTCTGTAATGTTAATAATGTACGTAACATCAAACCAACTTGTGAGTGACGGAAAGCCATAAAATTGAAGTACAAAATACTCGCTCGCCATGTCATAATTGTCCTTAGGTTTCCAAGCAGTATACATAACACATGACTGGCGAGCGATGACGTAACGTGCTGACTGCGCGTTCTGGTATGAGCCAACTACATAAGCACGGCTAGGGAGTATCATCGCACTCAAGGACAAACATAGATAAGGGCTCTCAGCTGAGAGGTACAGCGAGGTACAGTGCTTGGACCTGCCAGAAGACCACACTTTTCTTGGGCCATTATCTCCGTAACCGTTCAACTTTGGACATAGGTGTTTTGGGTTATATCGGCATACTTTAACATAAGGAACACCCTCCCGAAGTTTGGCACATTCCTCCTGGGACACCCTGTATATAGTGGAGAGCAACAGTTTTTTCTGTAATGTGTGTGATTTGTTATTCAGTCATTTGAGCATACTGAAGACACATTAACCCTTTCTGGTCATTGCCTTGTGAGATAAAGATGTTTTAAATGTCCATAGAACCAGAAAGTAAACTGTTTTGCCTGAAAAGTTGGTGCAGCAAGGGCATAAAGTGAAAAAACAAAAGGCGTAGTACATTTTCGATTGTCCAATGCTTAGGCCAGCTGAACACTAATATAACATCTGTTAGTGAAAAGCTGGTAGCCTTCAACACCACACACTGAGTCCTAATCTGTCCATCAAGGAAAGAACTATTCTTGAAATGAATGGTTTTTCAGAGTATGGCGAGTTACACGTGTCGCCCGTAATCTAGAATCGTACTGTGAACATAGCCAGTGTCACTATCAGCTTATACAAATAATATGATGCCCCACATCATTGTTTTTTTTTGGGGGGGGGGATTAAGATTTGAAAATTATTTTGCCCTTGAACCCAGCTGTTGATTAATCTGTTGAAATGTGTTTACCTTCAACACAACAAATACTCAGATCTACATCTAACCACTACCCAGTGTAGAACATACCGAATGTATATATACACATAGACGAGAAGTATGTACATCATATTGTATGATTAAAGATACATATCATGGGAATAGCATACCAATATATCACACACTAACAGCCCATACCTCATATAAAACTTGTCTTTGGGCTCCAGAACCAGGCTTACTATGTAGAAAGCTTCAACAAAGACCTACAAATGACATACTGTAACCATCCCTCCTTTCTTTTTGCCTGCGGCTCCGTCCAAATGGTCATGCAGGGGGTGGTAGTCGATGGCAGTTGGCCCCTCTGCTCCGATGACCACTTTGACTCTGCCCTACCTGGTGTTGCCGCTGCTGAAGTTGGCTAGGCCGTGGCTGGTTTTGGCTTGACCCTGCTCCACCGCTTCTTTCTTCAGTTGAGGTGATTATTGGTTGGATTTCAGGATTGGATCCAATAAGCTAGAGGCTGTTTACGATTCGATAGTAAGTGGTGAATGGGTGAGCATGTGGAAGCTGATGGTAGGTTTGAGTAGCTAGTTGGAGATGGGTTTCTTTTCAGGTCGAATATGGGTCAGGCTCAGGCAAGTGAGGGTGAAAACCCTCTGATCAACTTTATTGCTGTTCCTGCAGTTAACATGATATAACTTTCATCACTGCCATTAGACTTGATACATTGGACTTAGCACTCTGTGAAATAGCTAATGGTGATGTGACTGAATACACACTTAGCGAGTATGGTTCGAGCTGTGAAGTATAGCTTACTTCCTAATGACACTTAGCTGCATAAATTTTTACAACCTGATTTAGTTTCAGCTGACTAGCAGTGGGTGTTACACTTCCACTAAAATGTACTTGATCAGCTCGCCAAATTCCTTGGTGCCGCACTCTTGTTGATTAAGCTAAATCTAACTATGAGACATTATGAGAGCAAACATTTTGGACTTCTTAGAATTATCTTTCTGCGCAAGTGATGCAGAGTTTGCCTCCGCCAAGTTCAAAAGTTAATAGACGACTAAAAATCTTAGACTGAACTCTCTGCCGAGCCAGAGGTCCTAACTAATTTGTATCTGCCTATTCTCTCCTCCTAATTTCCCTGATAGGCCAATCAAATAATGGGAGTTGGCTTAATTTTGGTTGCAGCCAATGACAGACTATTTTTAAGGGAATTTCGCCCTAAGAGACCAAACGGCGAAATTGACAGCGATGCAACTTATGAGTTGTCCCTAATGATTTCCTGGCACTCACACTTTTGACTTATGGCTGGCAGAAACTGTCACCTCTCCAATTTTCAAAGTGTTTTGTCATTGTAACTTTCTAGAGAATCTCAGTGGGGTTTCTTGAAGTATCACTTTCTGCCCTTTTGGGAAATAACACCAGCTGCTTGGACTTAAGTACTAGCATATATCCTAGTTCGTGCAAGATTGCTCTATCTGTTCATCGCCTGTTCCTTGTTCTTACAGTATGTCTTAATTAAGGGGTTTCATGATAATTTAAGGAATTCTAAACTAAATTTGACCTTCAACCTAATCTATATAATTTGTAACAAACTCTTTCTAGATTTCAAGTTAATATAAGTAATATCAATTATTTTGTGAAAGATTACACCATAAATGCAATATCTCTAACGGATTCTTTGACGGTTTTCATAGTATTTCAGGAAATTTAAAGAAATTTTCAAAGATTGGAAGGTAATTTAAGGAAATTCTATTGAATTTTGAAAGAATTCAACGAAATCTATATAATTTTAACCTACAATTCTTTGACTTTTTCAAGTTAAAATAAAGAATTTCGAACAATTTATAAAATTTTCAATCTAAACAGGAAAACCTTTAAATGTATGATAATTTCTATATTATCTAATGTATTTTAATCATATTTTCAGTCACTCTAAGTTACTTAAAATAATTTTAAAAATTTTGAACGAAATCAACATAATTTATGGAATTTTTGCTTAAAATTCTCTGACGATTTCACCTTACTATAAGGATTTACACACAATATGTGAAGGATTTCTTATTAAATGGAATACTGTCGAAATTATTGACGAATTCTACTTTATATTAGGGTAATTTAAGTCAATTTTGATAGAT